AATGCCTTCCTTTCTAACTGCTCCATTTTCAATAATTGTAGGGATCACAATTTCAAATTAAACACTGCTGATGAGTCGTGGTGGGTTTTGTTTACTTGGTTTTGCTTCTTTTATTCTCTCCTGTACTCCCGCCCGCCTCCCCGCCCCTTTGTTTTGCTTATAAACTTACCTTTGCTGACCCTTCTTTCCTGTTTTGGGGGGCTGTTCTTGCTTCCTTCCCTGCACTTAAAATGTTCTTGTCTCTTCAACTGTCATCCCCAAATCAGCAGGAGCATGCCTGGTGCTCACATTTCCCCCATCTTTGGTTGAGTGTGTGTTTTTGTGTGTCTGTTATTGTTTCCCCCCCCACCCCCCTTTAACTAGAAGAACATTATCAGAGACTCCAACACATTCAGCTGGGTCTGAACTGACTGTACCCATTAGGAATTCTTAAAGTGCAAATCGACTCTCCAAAATGACTCTTTACAGATGCAAAACTGACTTCATGGGTTGCCTCACCCCCACTCCATCTCCCGACGTGTATGGTTTTTCATCGCTGTTCCAATTTAAATTTCTCAGTCTACCACTCAAAAGAGATGATTTTTTTCTAATATCCATCCTGCAAACTCCATCTGGGATCCCCCAAACAAGCTGTGTTCTTCTGTTTCTCTCACAGGCAGGAATTATAAAAAGTCTGCAATAGGAGCAGGAAGGAGGTCAGACCTTCTTGGTCCTGAACCACAAGCGTTTTAATGCCTGGAAATACACAGGGTAATTGAACAGGGAAGATAAAATAAATGTCCACTTAGAGGCGATTGCCCCACCCCCTCAATCCAGCCTGCAGATCTGGTGCACATCACCTTGGGAAAGCCCTAGTTACAGTCCTCAAAAAACCAGAAGCAAGGAGCATCTACTATAATCACAATTATCCTACGATCTTCATGCCTCGCAGGATTACTATCCTTCCAAGCTTTGGGCCTAGTGTCTTGTGTGAACAGAGAACCAGATGGGAGTTTTGGGGGCTAAAATGGATCCACCAATTATTTATAGATTCGGACTAAAAATCATGTGAACCGCCTTCTGTGGAGTTCCATCTTCCGAGAACAGACTTGAAATAGACATAGTTGTGGAAAGTCTCGGAATCATTTAGAATAATCCTGAACGTGGTATTGCAAGTAGGGAATGGTGGAGTTAAGCCTAAAGAATGTTAGAAGCCCCTTCAAAAAGAAGGGCAGAGTTTTAGAACAATCTTTTGGAGATCTCTAGAATCAGACCATGTGGTTCAATTTTATATCCTGTTGGTTTTAGTAGCATTGACCCTAGACATTTTTTTTCCCCTGCTGAAAAAACCTTTAAAGTTTGACATGACTGCTTTGCATAGCTAAGTGTGACCAGCTTTGGAGAAGAAGAAAATTGTTCTTAGTGCCTTGCATACGATAGAAAACCAACATTTATTGAAAGGATGAAACTAAAAACAGACCTTTTATCATGCTAAGTATATGACCACGTATTGTATAAGGAAGTTTCCTTAAGCTATTTTATTTTTTTAACTTTGACATATATATATATA